CAGTTTTATTTTGATGATAATTAAGGAGAACTCCTTAAATTGTACAATGATGTACTTTTTATGGCCAGCAAAGTCAGTTTCCAAAAATGTCAACCCTGCCAGCTGAGGTGATAACCCCAAGGGTAACCCCCTAGTGAGTTCAGTCCTGGTCATGAAAAGTACACTATTGTGTGTGACAAGAAAGAAAGGGTTGAGATGTTATCTATGTGAGCTTTTCAGTGGTATAAGTACATATTTGTATTCCACTAAGTCTACTTACTAGTCACATGAATAAACTATCACCTAAAAAAAGTTTCTGCAAATATTTTCTGAGTCATTTCTTCAATGTCAGGGAGTTGATGAATTATTGTATATGTAATTAAGAAGGTTACATCATTGTACACAACAGGAAGGAAGAGGGTCAAACATGACTAGAACTGTACACAATGGGTGACACCTGACTCAAAAATTCATGGGTTACAAAAATTTTACTCAAGTTTGAACTATAGGTGGTGAATCTGAATCTGGCACCATTCCTCACCATTTGGTTGGCCCTTTATTACTGACTGAACCAGGATAAGAAAAGACGATTTCCATGAAAGGAAAAAAAAAATTTTTTTATATAGTACAATAAACTCTGCTTATTGTAATCACTGTAGGATTAGTGTAAATTTATACCAACAATCAATTAGTAACATTATGCAAAATAAATAAGGTTACAATTACAGAAAATTCTTTTTAATATTAGTCAATAGTCCCCTGAAAAGTTAAAACAATTTAAAAATGTATAACTTGAAGACTTATTAATTATAATTAATAATTCATCCAGGATTGTTTGTTACTAAACTTCAACAACAGCTATCATAAATGCCAGAAATTTTAACTGTTTGTGTGTGTGTGGTGTGTGCAAATAACACAGTTCAAAGCACGGATTAAGACCAATAACAATAACTTGTTGATAACATTGAAAATGATTTTATGTTACGACTGCTAGAAGGAAAGAAAGCCTATTTATCCAAAGACACTGATAACAACTGAACTTGTTACAATATGTGACATCTATTATATTATGGAATAAAATTTAAAAATTAAACTTTTCAAGTATTAAGAATACTTATTTGTATACAGTACTGTACACAGAAATGAATATATACTGTATGTAGTGTATAAAATGTTCAACTTTACTAAAAAATAAAAGCAGAAATCATTCAAAACTTTTAAATTCTTATTTCATTCAAAATCAAAACAAATAAAAATGTTGCTTCAAGGAAAATTTTTCCATCAATACTTTCTTATTAACAAGGTTCTTTAAGATTAATCTGTTTATATTGGAATAAAATACAAATAACAGAACTTTAAAATAAAGACCAAAAAACTAAAAATAGAAATATCATTTCAGAAAAACATGAAATAACCATAGCTCTGATTTTTATATAATCATTATCATATCCTATATATTAGATAAATGTGTTAAGAAACAGAAAAGGATATTATAACAGAAGATAAACATTTATCAGTTGCCTTTACAAATTCATAGTGAATGAGTACGGATCAATTTATTTCTTTAATTACAATTAAACTTTTAAATATTTAAATGCAAAATCTATAAACAAATGTAAAATGTGACAAATGTAAAAAAAATCAATATCTGGCAAGTAAAATTATGTTAAAATTGCAATTTAATATTGCAATATAGTTTTTAAAAATTGTTATTGAAGCAGTTTTACAGTACCAGAACTTTAAACTTTTTTATATTTATTCTAACATTTAATATATTCTTTAAGATATAAACTGAAAGATGCTTTTGAAAACAGTGAAAAGTATTTTTAAAAATGTCAAATGGATTATTAGAAAGAAATTTACTTGTTCTTGAAGATGAATGTATGTAATATTACAGGAAAACTGTATACAGCATATATTCATTTGATGTTCTACACACATTAGAAACTATATTTTTACAGGTATATTTGCTATGTTCTTTTCGAAAAAAAAAAATTAAATAAAAATAATTTGAAAAACCAAGTCATATTGCCATTACTGAGGAAAGTTTTTATACTGATAGTTTAAATGATTCTTTAAATCATCCACTTGATTATATTCAAAGCAAAATATTAAGCACAGGAAACAGTTTAAAAGAAAATGTGACAAAAGATATTAACACAGTTTCCATTAAGTGAGAACTACTCATTTAAAAATAGTTCAACTGATAACTGTCAATATGAACAATTATATGGCAAGATTACAATAACTGCTTAGAGACACTGATTACCTTGAAATGTGACTTAATAATGAACCATTACTGTATGTTAACTCTATGCAAAAAACAAAGTGATTTATCATAATCCCTAATTAGAAAGTTTGTCGAAACTAATAATGCCAGCTAGTTTGACTTAATCTTAACCAATGATATCATTTACTGTTAAGTCTTGTTTTAGTTTTTTGGGTTGCAATTTAAAAAAATTGTAGACCTATAAATTTCCACTGTCATCTGTCTGTCTTTCCTTAATCTCAAGAATGGAGTTGGACAGATAAAAGACAAGACTAGATATGAAAACCTTAGGGGCAGGAAGCCCCGATTAACTACATATGAACTTCTGACGCAAACTGGAAGTCATGTTATTTCAATTGAAAATTTCCCCAGAGAGGTGTTAGTTGACTGGCACAACTCTATTGTTAAAGGAAAAGTATGATGTACAGGGGACAAACTACTAATAATTTAAGGTAGAGAGGATATACAGTATTTTAAATTTATTTAATTAAAAATGTGATTAAAAATTGTAGCTAGCATTGTGACGATGTCACAATAAATAAATAAAAGTTAATAGAAAACAAGTGATTATTATAAATATTTAATATGAAACACAGACTTGCGATATCACCACCAAACAAAGTTATTTCTATTCCAAATTAGCACATAAGAACACAGTAGTTAATTATTCATCTGTGATGAATGAACTATTTAAAAGTGCAGAAACAGAAGTACATTCAAACTTTTCCAATGCATTGTTCAGCTAATTTCTTGTCTACACATAACTTCAGAAAAATCACCAATAAATGGTGCACTAGAATATTTAAAAATATGTAATGATATTTTTATTATATATTAGACATTTAGAAAAAGATCTTACAAGATGGCAATAAGCTTTTGTCGCTTGATAAATTAAAACTAGCTCTTCCAAAAATGTATTTTCATTTTGTATTTTGATAACAATTAATTCTAAACATTCATTTTTTTCAATGAGTAGATTATAGTCTAGCATGGATTATAGAGAACAACATAAATGACTAAAATTATCAATTTTTAGGAGCATTTAAAATTAATTCTGACATGCCATAAAATTCAGAAAATGTTGGATTCCTTAGAACACAACAGAACATTCATTCCACTTTTCAAGGAAAGAATTTTTTTTATTTGCTTTTTTCAACATGTACGAAATTTTAGAACAAAATTAATAGCAGTCGTAAGCTCAACGAAAAAAAATCTTATGAAACAAAGTAAATTATTTCTTTGAACTAATTTATCTAAATTTTGTTGAATTAGGACTATCAAAAAACAAACAATCAATGTTAATACACACTATACAAACATAATCCAAATTTGTATAATAATGTATTCTAGACAAAATTAACTCAAAGCTGACAATAGAAAAAAAGTGTAATTAAATATTAAATAAAATTTGGTAAAATTTAGTATTAGATCAACTTCATAATTTTGATCATGTACAAGTATATTATTTATTTGGAAATTTACAAAATGGCATGCAAAATTATTTTTTGAAAAAGTTTTTTTTTTAATTTAACATTTCATAATATTTGTATTTACAAAAACTCATTATATGATATATCTAAATCATTAATAAAAAGTAGTAATACATTTTTTTAATAAGCAGTCAATGAGGTGATTTGTTCTAACTTTCAACTGATTAGGAATTATATACCAAACCAGTACAAATTTCAATTCAATTAATCAAAATTTAGGAGACAGACTTGATCAAAATTCGGTGGTATTAGATCAAAAACTGCTGGGTGTCTAGCAGAGACCACTTGTCCTGATCCATCAGTAAACAGTTGATCTTTAAACTCTTGAACCAGCTATAACGTCTGCAGAGTATTTTTTCTGGCAGACATTGTCTGATTGCATCAAGCAACCTCCAGCAAAACCAATATATGGTTTTGATGGAGGTGGAAGTTGCTTGATGACTCTAGATATGACACTTGTGGCACATTGACTTTTCTGAACATCTCAGTTGGTGATGACTGTCCTAATAAAAAAAAAAAAAGGGGGAATAAGACACTTAGGGTCAGTCACCTGTAATTTATTGAACTGTGATATCATATTCTTTGTTCATCTGACATCTGTTGATATTTTCAATTGCAGTGATTTGTTTACATGTGTGACTAATCTAAGTAAACATTTCTCCTGTTCTGTTGGTTTTAACCCTTTGCTTTTGTAGATTTTCACAATTATGCTTAACTTTTCAATTTCAGTGTATATGCTTCAAAATACAATATATTGCATAAGTTAAAATTTATTTATTGATTATTTAAAATTAATAAAGTTTTAATAAAAATACAAAAATCATAATTAAAATAAATTAATGTAATTTAAAAATAAAATTAAAAATGGTGAAAAAAACATTTACTCCTAAAAAGAATCAAGTTTATATATCATTTGAAAACAAGTGAAATACATTAACCAGGACAGAGTGAAGAGATAAAGAAAGAATGAGTGTCATTCTCTCAGGTGATTAATGCCATCATGATGTTTTGAAAGGAATTATTTGGATTCTATCTCAGATCAATGTAATTTTTCTTTGCTTTAATAGCTTATATCAGTGAAGGAATAAATTTCTATCAATTTTTACTGATATAAGAAAATGTTGTTTTGCTAATAAATTGCAAAATTTTAAAACTATTATGAATTATAATGTTTAATTAAGTTCATTTTTTATGTCAAGAATGTATTGTTTCCATTCATTTCAAATTCAATCAAATAATATCTTAAAAGGAAAGTTACTCACTTAACTTCAAGTGCTAAAGCACAGATTCCTGCAGCAAGTGGAGCTGATGCTGATGTTCCAGTATGACTAGAAGTACACTGTTGTCTGAGATCAGTTGTCACCTATAAAAATATTTATATAATATAATATAATATAAAAATCAAAAAATTATTGTTACTATGATATTTCATTTTAAATTTTGACATTGTCATGTCTTTTTTTAAATAATATTCAATAATAATTTTTGTTTTACTGACAAATTTTGTATTAATTTTAAATACTGTACTTATATTTAAATTGTAAATGATGGTAAACTTTTTATAAAGTAAGAATATTGAAAATACTGGTACAAAAATATATACACATTATATATAATATATTTATATAATATATAAAAATAATAATAAATGTATGCATGTGTGAAACTCACAATCTGTCTTTCACCTGTGGAACCACTACTGTAAGTAGTTGCCAGAGTAGAAGAGCATGCTTCACTATACCATGGCACTAATCCATTTTCCGTTGCGCTGCTTATAGATAAAGTCCAGATCGCATTGGTGTATCCATCACAATTGCAATTATCATGCTCTCTACCACCATTTCCAGAAGCCCAGATAAAGATGGAACCCAATCCACGACGACCCTAAAAATTAAATTTACATATAGAATAAATAATTTATTTTTTAAAAAAGTGGAATTTTAACACTTAGAGAATGTATTACATTTTTAATTCCATCTGTGAAAGCACGAGTGGCAAGCACTCCGGGACCATCCACAGTTTTTCCATCATCATCTGGTCCCCAAGAAGCGCTATAAATATCTATATGCTGGGGATTGAGACTGAGCGACCGAGCTTCCACGACATCTGTCACATCTCCATCCAACATCTTGACACCTAATTATCCACCATAAGAATAAGTTTATTAATGAATTATTACATATTAATTCTTCCATTTATTGCTAACAGTACAGCACATCTGAGCATTATTACATTACCAATGTATATTCTGCTCCAGATGAAATGAAGAAATTAAACAAATGGTTTTATTGCTATAACTTATAATTGAAAATTTTAAAATGAAAAATTATACCTCCCACTTTAGCTCTATAGGCAACTCCTAGAGCACAGAAACTATTGTTGGCTTGAGCAGCAACTTCACCCGCACATCTCGTTCCATGCCTTGAAAACAATCATATTAGCATTTGCTCTATTCATTTTTAATTTTAACAAAAGAAACATTACCTATTAGAATCTAGCAGATCATATCTGGGTTGCGGATCAGGATCGTGATCATTAATATCAAAACTAGCTTCCGGATCCTACCAAAAAAAGAAATGATAATTTTAGTTGCTTGGATTTGGGTTTCCTCCCTATTTCACCCTGTGGGCACTAAGAAGGCCTCTTTTAGCAAGCCCATTATGCGGCCAGGTGGTGAGAGACGGGGCCCGACATATCCGGGCGGACCACCCCCGAAAAATTCATGGATTTGGAGTTTTATGGCATAAATGCCAGGTTTAGTGTTGCTGTATGTCCTTTTGGATCTTATAATATGTGATAATTGTTCTGTTGTATGTTTTAAAGTTCTGTATATAAGCTTATTGCTTTCAGATAAATGTACAAATTTTAAAAATTGTTTATTTTACATCAAATTAAAAGTTCTCTTAATTGATACTTTTTACGTTTCCTCTATTAACAACCGAACACGTGTGTGTAACAAGATCTCTGTCAGAGGAATAACCTCTCTTTTTCTAGAGGTAAACTACTAAACAGTAGATTCTCAGACGGTTTAAAGTGGCGCTGCAGTTGCTTCGACGTTGAAAATACATTGACAACGTTTGATACCGCCCAATTTATATATTACCTCCGATTTAAATAAATTTAAAAACATTTTTGAATTTTTTTTTTTTTAAAAAAAGGCACTAAAATTGACTTCGATATATTAACCCGGTTCCTCGACCTTGAGATGAACTACGTCTAGTTAATTATTTCGCTTCGTTATACAGCAATCGATATTAACAGTAATATATATTTGATTTTGCCACAAAACGCATTATGTCCTACTAGTTAACTAATTATAAATATATTTAACATACGTTACGTAACTAGCTTATATTGAGATTGGCGTAAAAAATTAAAAAAATACACAATTTTTAAACGACTTTCTCCCCCAAATAAAGAAAAAACCCTACTGTACTTTATAAGGAAAACTTTTAAATATAAAATTTATAACCTGTTTTATAGATCCGTACGAATGTAATTTCCAAGACGAAATTTAGAGGGAGGGAGAGAAGGAGGGAAAGATAAAAAAAAAATAATATTACCGCTCGAACAAAAATAGATTATATTACTACGGCATTTATCATAAAAGATATGCTTTCAAACTCAGGCTATTTGCATTTTCTTTTGTTATATAGTTGCTACTATAATAGAAATAGAAAACGTCGAATTGAACGTTTCCTCCTCCCTCGAGTCCTTTTTACTCCAAGACAGATGTTTGTGAAAACTATTCATAACCAATTGCCGATACGTAAATGGACAAAATTAACATAAACCAATAAGGTCAAACTTTACGCAGATTATTAAAAATACGTTATATATATAATTGAATAGATTTCTTTTTATATAATAATACTGTAATTTCCATTAAAGTAGGTTGTTTAATGTATTTTAGTCAATAAAGTTTCATCCCCTTAATTGTAACAGAGAAAATTCGTTAAAGGAAACGGTTCGACTGTGTTAAAAACTCGTCACATATTGCTATTTATTTATTAAAAATAATATATATATATATATATTTCTAGCGGGGTTGTTACGTGTTTACCAGACCATAAACTAATCCGTTGAGTATCTTTGTCACATATTTGTCGAACCGCAACAAAACATGTCTAGAGTAACAAAATAAAAATTCTGATTTGCATATCGCGTGTTATCGTAATTTTATTTTGATACGTAAAAATCTATCGGAAAATTTTTCTCCGGGTTATAAATCTAATGTATACATTTTAATACATGAAATATAATGCGTTAGAATTAACACAGAAATGAATGTTTATTCTAAAAAGAAAGAAAGAAAAAAAAAATGTATCTTGATGTACCTTTCGGGTATTTTTTTTAACCTAAAAAGAATAAAGCTATCATCATCAGTGGCGGATCCAGAAGAATCCGAAAGAGGTTCTTCTGTTCTTAAATATTTGAGTAATTATAAGTACAGTATCTTTTATCAGTGACCTAACTAACTTTACACGTGTCCTGTACAAAATTTTATTTTTGGCACTTTCTTTTTTAGTAAAAAAAAAATATAAACAAATACAGTCGACCCTCCCTATAACATTGTTGATTATTCCGTTTTATATGAATTCCATGTTGTACGAGTCACTTAGATTTTACAAATACGTGAGCCGTTCACAGCCCGGCACACGTATTTGTAAAATCTAAGTGACTCGTACAACATGGAATTCATATAAAACGGAAAAATCAAGTGTTATAGGGGGGTCAACTGTACGATAGAAATGGTCGGTTATTTTTTAACTTTAACTTAATCGATTCCTTTAAAATCTTAAAATACTGAGACCCACTTTAAGGCCCCTCTCGTCCTGGGCCCTGTTCCTCTTGCACCTGCCTAGTTACGGCACTGCCTTTTTATAACACACACAAGACGATTGTACTGCAGATTGTATTGAAGTTCGAACAAATAAATTTTAGTTTTTTTTTTTTTTTTGAGGGTATGTGTCAATGGGGAGGGTTATGCTCCTGTAGCCTACCGTGGATCCGCCCGATAGGCACAGTTTAAAATTTAAATACCTCCCAACATTGATACGGATCTTTTGTTGACAACACAAAACTCTTAATTAGAAAATAACTTCAATATTCTAAAAAAAACCGGGCAGATCTAACCTCATTAGTTTTATCAACCGAACTTCCTTTTAATTATTTTCAAACTTTGTTATTTACAGTTCTCATCTCACACTAAGCTGTTATTTAAACGAATTTGTTATAACTGGATTAGTCGCTATAATCAATGGGGGAATATATATATACCTATATTTTTTAAAATTACAAAAAATTTATTTTTTTATCAAGGGAAAATCGAATAATCATTAATTTTATTAATTTTTTTAATGCTTAGATCTAAAAAAAACTCTTCACTTGTTTTTTAATATCAACGTGAGAATTCTGTTCTTATGAATGACCGTGTGAATGCAGTTAATTCGTGTGTTGCTAATTGCAAACGTTTCTGAAGATTTTCTCAGCAGAATTAAGTCAATTATACTTATATATTTTTTTAAAAAAACACATCACGCAATAACTTAAAAATATATATTTTTTACTTGTTACACTCGTTTTAAGGATATATAATTGCATAGTTATTATTTATTACCGGTAAAAGTAGAATACTTTTAAATTCTCATTAATATTTTCTTAACATAATTATTCTATATATAATAAGAGAATAATTACATTAAGTTTAAGCCGAATGATCCATCAACAATTATGAGAAAATCGTGATTAAAAAACGATCGCTAATCACCATTAATTGTCATAACCATTCCATATAAAGCATAATACTCCCTATGTTATTTTACTCGTGCTAAGCAATTAAATCATCATATTTTTTTATAATTCGAAATTCTAATCGTCTCAACAGTAAACTACACAAATATTTGGAAATGATTTCAATTCGCTTCAGCTTTTAACTGCTTATTCTATTGCCTTTCATAATAATTCTAAGCGTTGTTTACATCGAAACAGAACAATTATATGGCCTAAAGTTACTGAACTACATTAATAAGTAACGTACACAAAATGTCGAATTATTTAAATGAGGAAATGAAGTTTGATTAATGAATTTTGAGCTTAATTTACTTCAGTGACTTAAAATTATTATTAAACTAACTTTATATATATATATATATAAAAGACTTCTTTTCTCATTTAATCCCTTTTTTTTTTGTCAGGAGGATTAGAAAGAAGTTAACACACCGCCATTAACCTGAATATTGAGATCGTCAATGTAGATAATAATAATAATAAGTTAAGTGATAACGAGTAAACGAATTAGCTATGAGTAAAATCGAAATTAATTTTGCCATTTCTTTTTTTTCAAAAAGAAAAAAAAAGTGTGTAAATTTATTGAAAACGGACAGAGTTTTCTATTAATTGCGTAAGTAATACTGGATTCTATATAGAGTCTACGATCATCAAGATGTAAGCAATATTAAAGGAATATACGAATTTCCTTTATTATTATCTCTTATCTTTTTTTCAAATACAGTAATTAATGTACACGCTGATTACGATGTCGAAACGAATTTCCAAAGAATTTAGAAAAATAAAATTAATTGCACACTACAGGACGTTTTGGACGGATTAAGATAAGAAATTTTGCCAGTTCCGTTTCATAAATTTACTGGAAAGATTAAAATCTAAAATAAAATAAGAATATTTTAAAGTTAATCTTCGTTTTATTTCGGTTAAAACTCGTTAATTTATTCATTTATTTACGGAAGGAAGTTTATTTTTTTTTAACCATTCGATAATTGAATATTTTGTTAAGTTTTCCTCCCATTTTATATTGAATATTGAAGCAATCTGCATGTTTTACATATGCTAACTTTTATTCTGAACAGTTATAAACTTACCATTCTGGTATAAATAAATACAATTGCATAATAAAACATGCCATTTTGTAAAATGGCATGTTTTATTATGCAATTGTATTCCTTTGACTTCATTTTGTAAAATTAAAATTATCTTAGTATTCAATGTAAATTTAAGGGAGAGGAAACTGTTTTAAATAATAGTACGTATATAAAATTTGAATTGGTATTAAATTATTAAAAGATTAATATTTAATTAACAGAAACACTTCGTGGTGTTGGAATGACTTAACAGGAACACTTCATTATACGTTTAATTCTCGATTATTATTATTTTTTTTTAAATAAGTAAATAAATTAGAATATACTCACGTAATTTTGCGCGATATCTGGATGATCTTTTTCTAAACCGTCGTCTAATATGGTGACGACGACATTTTTTCCTGTCACACCTTGAGCCCAAACTTCTTGCACATTCATATCCAAACCCGGTCCACGATTCTAAGAAGAAATTTGAAATGTAAACATAAAAAAAAAAAACCTTATACAATAATCGTATAGGGTTATAAAATTTTTCATTATTTATAATTCTACATTTTTCATATACATATAGGCCTATATATATAAAGTAAGAAAGTGCCACTATCTCCTATAAATATTACAAACGGGGAGTCGAGAACGAGCTAAATATGGATCGAGAAATACAAAATTCTGTTGTTTGCAGTTAAATATTAAGCAAAACTACGACTTGCAATATATCATTTCTTTATAAAATAAAAAAACTTTGAGTAAAAGCAATATAAATTATAATATATTATATTCAAGAAATATATTTTATAAGTAAGTCTGCCCACTTTTGACATACATAAAGCCATTAAAATATTTAAAATTTAATTAAACATAAAAGAAATAGATGTAATAATAATAAACTTTATTTATTTAAAATACAAGGATGGAAATATTTCAACAAATATTTTTCAAAACATGTTTATTAATTTTACCAGAACGAATTTCTATATAAAGATTATATCAATCGAAGAATGTTCGAAATTTTAATAAATGCAATTCCCAACTCACGTGTCAAATACTTGTTTGTTCAATGTCAATAGGGTCCAGCCCAGAAATTACTCGGTTCGATCAACTCGGGGTATTCTCTACCAGTTTTATTTGCTTCTANTTTTGAAATTTTTTTTTTTTAAAAAAAGGCACTAAAATTGACTTCGATATATTAACCCGGTTCCTCGACCTTGAGATGAACTACGTCTAGTTAATTATTTCGCTTCGTTATACAGCAATCGATATTAACAGTAATATATATTTGATTTTGCCACAAAACGCATTATGTCCTACTAGTTAACTAATTATAAATATATTTAACATACGTTACGTAACTAGCTTATATTGAGATTGGCGTAAAAAATTAAAAAAATACACAATTTTTAAACGACTTTCTCCCCAAATAAAGAAAAAACCCTACTGTACTTTATAAGGAAAACTTTTAAATATAAAATTTATAACCTGTTTTATAGATCCGTACGAATGTAATTTCCAAGACGAAATTTAGAGGGAGGGAGAGAAGGAGGGAAGGTAAAAAAAAATATTACCGCTCGAACAAAAATAGATTATATTACTACGGCATTTATCATAAAAGATATGCTTTCAAACTCAGGCTATTTGCATTTTCTTTTGTTATATAGTTGCTACTATAATAGAAATAGAAAACGTCGAATTGAACGTTTCCTCCTCCCTCGAGTCCTTTTTACTCCAAGACAGATGTTTGTGAAAACTATTCATAACCAATTGCCGATACGTAAATGGACAAAATTAACATAAACCAATAAGGTCAAACTTTACGCAGATTCTTAAAAATACGTTATATAATTTTGTATTAATTTTAAATACTGTACTTATATTTAAATTGTAAATGATGGTAAACTTTTTATAAAGTAAGAATATTGAAAATACTGGTACAAAAATATATACACATTATATATAATATATTTATATAATATATAAAAATAATAATAAATGTATGCATGTGTGAAACTCACAATCTGTCTTTCACCTGTGGAACCACTACTGTAAGTAGTTGCCAGAGTAGAAGAGCATGCTTCACTATACCATGGCACTAATCCATTTTCCGTTGCACTGCTTATAGATAAAGTCCAGATCGCATTGGTGTATCCATCACAATTGCAATTATCATGCTCTCTACCACCATTTCCAGAAGCCCAGATAAAGATGGAACCCAATCCACGACGACCCTAAAAATTAAATTTACATATAGAATAAATAATTTATTTTTTAAAAAAGTGGAATTTTAACACTTAGAGAATGCATTACATTTTTAATTCCATCTGTGAAAGCACGAGTGGCAAGCACTCCGGGACCATCCACAGTTTTTCCATCATCATCTGGTCCCCAAGAAGCGCTATAAATATCTATATGCTGGGGATTGAGACTGAGCGACCGAGCTTCCACGACATCTGTCACATCTCCATCCAACATCTTGACACCTAATTATCCACCATAAGAATAAATTTATTAATGAATTACTACATATTAACTCTTCCATTTATTGCTAACAGTACAGCACATCTGAGCATTATTACATTACCAATGTATATTCTGCTCCAGATGAAATGAAGAAATTAAACAAATGGTTTTATTGCTATAACTTATAATTGAAAATTTTAAAATGAAAAATTATACCTCCCACTTTAGCTCTATAGGCAACTCCTAGAGCACAGAAACTATTGTTGGCTTGAGCAGCAACTTCACCCGCACATCTCGTTCCATGCCTTGAAAACAATCATATTAGCATTTGCTCTATTCATTTTTAATTTTAACAAAAGAAACATTACCTATTAGAATCTAGCAGATCATATCTGGGTTGCGGATCAGGATCGTGATCATTAATATCAAAACTAGCTTCCGGATCCTACCAAAAAAAGAAATGATAATTTTAGTTGCTTGGATTTGGGTTTCCTCCCTATTTCACCCTGTGGGCACTAAGAAGGCCTCTTTTAGCAAGCCCATTATGCGGCCAGGTGGTGAGAGACGGGGCCCGACATATCCGGGCGGACCACCCCCGAAAAATTCATGGATTTGGAGTTTTATGGCATAAATGCCAGGTTTAGTGTTGCTGTATGTCCTTTTGGATCTTATAATATGTGATAATTGTTCTGTTGTATGTTTTAAAGTTCTGTATATAAGCTTATTGCTTTCAGATAAATGTACAAATTTTAAAAATTGTTTATTTTACATCAAATTAAAAATTATCTTAATTGATACTTTTTACGTTTCCTCTATTAACAACCGAACACGTGTGTGTAACAAGATCTCTGTCAGAGGAATAACCTCTCTTTTTCTAGAGGTAAACTACTAAACAGTAGATTCTCAGACGGTTTAAAGTGGCGCTGCAGTTGCTTCGACGTTGAAAATACATTGACAACGTTTGATACCGCCCAATTTATATATTACCTCCGATTTAAATAAATTTAAAAACATTTTTGAATTTTTTTTTTTTTAAAAAAAGGCACTAAAATTGACTTCGATATATTAACCCGGTTCCTCGACCTTGAGATGAACTACGTCTAGTTAATTATTTCGCTTCGTTATACAGCAATCGATATTAACAGTAATATATATTTGATTTTGCCACAAAACGCATTATGTCCTACTAGTTAACTAATTATAAATATATTTAACATACGTTACGTAACTAGCTTATATTGAGATTAACGTCGAAAATTTAAAAAAAAAAAAAATACACAATTTTTAAACGACTTTCTCCCCCAAATAAAGAAAAAACCCTACTGTACTTTATAAGGAAAACTTTTAAATATAAAATTTATAACCTGTTTTATAGATCCGTACGAATGTAATTTCCAAGACGAAATTTAGAGGGAGGGAGAGAAGGAGGGAAGGTAAAAAAAAATATTACCGCTCGAACAAAAATAGATTATATTACTACGGCATTTATCATAAAAGATATGCTTTCAAACTCAGGCTATTTGCATTTTCTTTTGTTATATAGTTGCTACTATAATAGAAATGGAAAACGTCGAATTGAACGTTTCCTCCTCCCTCGAGTCCTTTTTACTCCAAGACAGATGTTTGTGAAAACTATTCATAACCAATTGCCGATACGTAAATGGACAAAATTAACATAAACCAATAAGGTCAAACTTTACGCAGATTATTAAAAATACGTTATATATATAATTGAATAGATTTCTTTTTATATAATAATACTGTAATTTCCATTAAAGTAGGTTGTTTAATGTATTTTAGTCAATAAAGTTTCATCCCCTTAATTGTAACAGAGAAAATTCGTTAAAGGAAACGGTTCGACTGTGTTAAAAACTCGTCACATATTGCTATTTATTTATTAAAAATAATATATATATATATATATTTCTAGCGGGGTTGTTACGTGTTTACCAGACCATAAACTAATCCGTTGAGTATCTTTGTCACATATTTGTCGAACCGCAACAAAACATGTCTAGAGTAACAAAATAAAAATTCTGATTTGCATATCGCGTGTTATCGTAATTTTATTTTGATACGTAAAAATCTATCGGAAAATTTTTCTCCGGGTTATAAATCTAATGTATACATTTTAATACATGAAATATAATGCGTTAGAATTAACACAGAAATGAATGTTTATTCTAAAAAGAAAGAAAGAAAAAAAAAATGTATCTTGATGTACCTTTCGGGTATTTTTTTTAACCTAAAAAGAATAAAGCTATCATCATCAGTGGCGGATCCAGAAGAATCCGAAAGAGGTTCTTCTGTTCTTAAATATTTGAGTAATTATAAGTACAGTATCTTTTATCAGTGACCTAACTAACTTTACACGTGTCCTGTACAAAATTTTATTTTTGGCACTTTCTTTTTTAGTAAAAAAAAAATATAAACAAATACAGTCGACCCTCCCTATAACATTGTTGATTATTCCGTTTTATATGAATTCCATGTTGTACGAGTCACTTAGATTTTACAAATACGTGAGCCGTTCACAGCCCGGCACACGTATTTGTAAAATCTAAGTGACTCGTACAACATGGAATTCATATAAAACGGAAAAATCAAGTGTTATAGGGGGGTCAACTGTACGATAGAAATGGTCGGTTATTTTTTAACTTTAACTTAATCGATTCCTTTAAAATCTTAAAATACTGAGACCCACTTTAAGGCCCCTCTCGTCCTGGGCCCTGTTCCTCTTGCACCTGCCTAGTTACGGCACTGCCTTTTTATAACACACACAAGACGATTGTACTGCAGATTGTATTGAAGTTCGAACAAATAAATTTTAGTTTTTTTTTTTTTTTTGAGGGTATGTGTCAATGGGGAGGGTTATGCTCCTGTAGCCTACCGTGGATCCGCCCGATAGGCACAGTTTAAAATTTAAATACCTCCCAACATTGATACGGATCTTTTGTTGACAACACAAAACTCTTAATTAGAAAATAACTTCAATATTCTAAAAAAAACCGGGCAGATCTAACCTCATTAGTTTTATCAACCGAACTTCCTTTTAATTATTTTCAAACTTTGTTATTTACAGTTCTCATCTCACACTAAGCTGTTATTTAAACGAATTTGTTATAACTGGATTAGTCGCTATAATCAATGGGGGAATATATATATACCTATATTTTTTAAAATTACAAAAAATTTATTTTTTTATCAAGGGAAAATCGAATAATCATTAATTTTATTAATTTTTTTAATGCTTAGATCTAAAAAAAACTCTTCACTTGTTTTTTAATATCAACGTGAGAATTCTGTTCTTATGAATGACCGTGTGAATGCAGTTAATTCGTGTGTTGCTAATTGCAAACGTTTCTGAAGATTTTCTCAGCAGAATTAAGTCAATTATACTTATATATTTTTTTAAAAAAACACATCACGCAATAACTTAAAAATATATATTTTTTACTTGTTACACTCGTTTTAAGGATATATAATTGCATAGTTATTATTTATTACCGGTAAAAGTAGAATACTTTTAAATTCTCATTAATATTTTCTTAACATAATTATTCTATATATAATAAGAGAATAATTACATTAAGTTTAAGCCGAATGATCCATCAACAATTATGAGAAAATCGTGATTAAAAAACGATCGCTAATCACCATTAATTGTCATAACCATTCCATATAAAGCATAATACTCCCTATGTTATTTTACTCGTGCTAAGCAATTAAATCATCATATTTTTTTATAATTCGAAATTCTAATCGTCTCAACAGTAAACTACACAAATATTTGGAAATGATTTCAATTCGCTTCAGCTTTTAACTGCTTATTCTATTGCCTTTCATAATAATTCTAAGCGTTGTTTACATCGAAACAGAACAATTATATGGCCTAAAGTTACTGAACTACATTAATAAGTAACGTACACAAAATGTCGAATTATTTAAATGAGGAAATGAAATTTGATTAATGAATTTTGAGCTTAATTTACTTCAGTAACTTAAAATTATTATTAAACTAACTTTATATATATATATAAAAAAGACTTCTTTTCTCATTTAATCCCTTTTTTTTTTTGTCAGGAGGATTAGAAAGAAGTTAACACACCGCCATTAACCTGAATATTGAGATCGTCAATGTAGATAATAATAATAATAAGTTAAGTGATAACGAGTAAACGAATTAGCTATGAGTAAAATCGAAATTAATTTTGCCATTTCTTTTTTTTCAAAAAGAAAAAAAAAGTGTGTAAATTTATTGAAAACGGACAGAGTTTTCTATTAATTGCGTAAGTAATACTGGATTCTATATAGAGTCTACGATCATCAAGATGTAAGCAATATTAAAGGAATATACGAATTTCCTTTATTATTATCTCATATCTTTTTTTCAAATACAGTAATTAATGTACACGCTGATTACGATGTCGAAACGAATTTCCAAAGAATTTAAAAAAATAAAATTAATTGCACACTACAGGACGTTTTGGACGGATTAAGATAAGAAATTTTGCCAGTTCCGTTTCATAAATTTACTGGAAAGATTAAAATCTAAAATAAAATAAGAATATTTTAAAGTTAATCTTCGTTTTATTTCGGTTAAAACTCGTTAATTTATTCATTTATTTACGGAAGGAAGTTTATTTTTTTTTAACCATTCGATAATTGAATATTTTGTTAAGTTTTCCTCCCATTTTATATTGAATATTGAAGCAATCTGCATGTTTTACATATGCTAACTTTTATTCTGAACAGTTATAAACTTACCATTCTGGTATAAATAAATACAATTGCATAATAAAACATGCCATTTTGTAAAATGGCATGTTTTATTATGCAATTGTATTCCTTTGACTTCATTTTGTAAAATTAAAATTATCTTAGTATTCAATGTAAATTTAAGGGAGAGGAAACTGTTTTAAATAATAGTACGTATATAAAATTTGAATTGGTATTAAATTATTAAAAGATTAATATTTAATTAACAGAAACACTTCGTGGTGTTGGAATGACTTAACAGGAACACTTCATTATACGTTTAATTCTCGATTATTATTATTTTTTTTTAAATAAGTAAATAAATTAGAATATACTCACGTAATTTTGCGCGATATCTGGATGATCTTTTTCTAAACCGTCGTCTAATATGGTGACGACGACATTTTTTCCTGTCACACCTTGAGCCCAAACTTCTTGCACATTCATATCCAAACCCGGTCCACGATTCTAAGAAGAAATTTGAAATGTAAACATAAAAAAAAAAAAAACCTTATACAATAATCGTATAGGGTTATAAAATTTTTCATTATTTATAATTCTACATTTTTCATATACATATAGGCCTATATATATAAAGTAAGAAAGTGCCACTATCTCCTATAAATATTACAAACGGGGAGTCGAGAACGAGCTAAATATGGATCGAGAAATACAAAATTCTGTTGTTTGCAGTTAAATATTAAGCAAAACTACGACTTGCAATATATCATTTCTTTATAAAATAAAAAACTTTGAGTAAAAGCAATATAAATTATAATATATTATATTCAAGAAATATATTTTATAAGTAAGTCTGCCCACTTTTGACATACATAAAGCCATTAAAATATTTAAAATTTAATTAAACATAAAAGAAATAGATGTAATAATAATAAACTTTATTTATTTAAAATACAAGGATGGAAATATTTCAACAAATATTTTTCAAAACATGTTTATTAATTTTACCAGAACGAATTTCTATATAAAGATTATATCAATCGAAGAATGTTCGAAATTTTAATAAATGCAATTCCCAACTCACGTGTCAAATACTTGTTTGTTCAATGTCAATAGGGTCCAGCCCAGAAATTACTCGGTTCGATCAACTCGGGGTATTCTCTACCAGTTTTATTTGCTTCTATGGCAAAAATATTTAATTTTCGACACTATTTAAAACTTATTTTTTTTTTAAAATTAATGTAATAAAAAACACATTTAATTCACTTGAAAAGAGGAATTTTATTAATGAAGAATGCGTGGCTCCTATCATAAAGTTAGTTCCTATCTTTTCTGCCCCCCACCCTTTTTTTTTAATGTAATACGGAGGCAATTAATTCGCCTTCAAATATAATGTTAAGGATATAAATGCCGGATGGCATTAACGATGTCGAATTATTAATTGAAGTGCTCCAGTTTTAATGGATAGAAATGGCGCGATATAATGATGCGGATGGAGAGCAACCGACGGATCTAGCTATTCAACAACAGTTTTATTGAGAGAGAAGACTCCATCAATTTCTTACCTCTTCTCTTTCACTAACAGGACTTCTCACCTCTGCTCAACCAATGATAAACGGCTAGGGTCATGTGACATCCTATTTCTCGACACACACACACACACACACACACTCTTTATACCAAAAATACCATTTTCTCCTCTCTTCTTCAAAAATACACTTAATGAAATATTTATCCGTGACAGTGGCGCATTATCCTATTGGCAATTGCTGGAGGCAATCATTAATAGGAGACCTCAAATTAATCTTTTATAATAAAATATTCCTCTCGGAAAAGTACACTATACATGGGGGTCCCCTAATTCGAATATACCTAGGCCCCAATAAGTTATAAACGTACCACTGATCAGTGATGTTTTTTAAGAATTAAATATGATTAAATTCTTGTATATTTACGAATTAAACTGTAAAAAAAAAGGCTATTCTGTACTCTCCTTCTATAATAAGTTGTAAATGCATTACAGAATTTTCTTCTATGTAAGAACTTCGATTGAAATGAGCCGAAACAATATTAAGATGATGGAAAGTTGACGACAGGAAGCATTAAGACGACAAACTGACACAGTAAGTCTCTTCTGTGTTTGCTTTTGTCACGTTATTACCAAGAAAGTCAATAAATGATGGAAACACGTTAGTAGTTATCATTTCGCCTTCTTTTCTCCCTCGTATGCCAAACATTTTTATATCCAAAAAAAGAAAAAAAAATTACATTTTTACACGCATCTTTATTAAATTCGCCAACGAAACTTTCGAAAACCAATTTCGAAATAGAAATACAGTCGACCCCTTATAACACTGTTGATTATTCCGTTTTATATGAATTCCATGTTGTACGAGTCACTTAGATTTTACAAATACGTGTGCCAGGCTGTGAACTGCTCACGTATTTGTAAAATCTAAGTGACTCGTACAACACGAAATTCATATAAAACGGAATAATCAACAGTGTTATAGGGGGGTCGACTGTATAAGAATCATAAGTTTAATCGTCTAAAAATCAGGATATTCTTTCTATCCAAGATGGATGCCAACAAAGCATAATACTCATTTCCTGCATTATCGCAACAGATTCGTTAATACGATTAAAGTTAGTTGAGTAACTTCTAAGCCATTAAACATCTTTATCTGTTAATCAATACATTCGAAGTAAACATTGTCGAAAATTTATTTCTCCGGGGTATATTAAATGCTCATTTATACTAAAGAATTGCTCGGGGACACGTAATCGTTAGATGTATGAAGAATATATATATATATTAGAAATATTGAAAATATTTTTAATTTATTTACTTTGGTATATCTTGAGTAAACATATTTAATAAACGAGGTGATGGAATGTAAAATTTATGAGAAATTAATTAATTATCGATCGTTAGAAAAATTAAAGAAAAAGGAATAATAATAATAATAATTTTCGAAATTATGAACCATACGGTTTTGCATTAGAACACATGAGAAAAGTCAACCTACCGAATGGTATCCGCACCCATTCGATACAATGTTCATAAAAGAAAGTAGTAGGAAGTCATTACTCTTATATAGGGTAATTACAAAGCTATTTTATATATCATTTGTAGAGCTTCACGGCAGATAAACATTAAACGAAAATTACAATAGGTTCTCTTCTACTCGACACCCGAGTCATTTATTTCTCATCTTTTAATCGTCAAAAATTTCAAAAAAATAAAATAAAAATTCGATATCTTTAATTAAAAAAAAAACAAAGTTTATTTTGATAGTTTAACGACCGTTTAAACTCGGAATTAAGTCTACTATTAAAATATACGTGTCTTTTAAACGTATGAATAAATGATCATTTGCATAGAGAGCGACACACGCCATTAAATTTTCAACTAACTCTGGTTTATAATCACAGATTAAATGCCCGGCGATAATTGTCACTTTAGAAAATTATCATCACGATATTTCGCCTAATCTCATTAAAATTAAACGAAGCTCTCTCTCTCTCTTTCTCTCTCCCTTTTTAAAAAATGAAAATATATTAAAAATTCTCTCCGAACAACAACAACAACAACAACAACTCGAGCGCTAATCTGATGTAGAAGGAATTCAAGTTTTTCTCGATTAAAATATTCGAGAAAACAATTCTAAAACTAATTTTAGAACGGAGAAAAGCGTAGGAACAAAGGAAACGTTTGCATGATATCATGCCGAAACCGGTCACGTTCTCTGATGTCACAAGATGAGGCCGTACATAACAATCGACGACTACGGAACTGAATACATTAATCATGATACAAACCTAGAAAATTGTTTTCTAGAAGAGCAGAAAAGATTTCGTAATAATAATAAAAAAGAAATATAGCATTTATATAAGATAGTCCTGAAGTATACAAGGCGTAGAATTCATTATTATTAAATAAATACACTAGAATTTCTAGTGTGAATCGATGTAAGTTGAATTAAAATTCCTTTAACAAAAAATAAAATACCTAAGATTAAATTCACCTTACAAAGACGAATTTACCTTTCTACAAATAAACTCGCTCCTTTCGAGAAGCAAACAAAAGGAACAAAAACCTTTCTGATACTTGTTGTCCACAAGACCATTCCATCTAATTAGATGTCTATCCATTACCAAAAAGGAACCTTCTAAATTACGTTGGCGTAATTGGCTCGTTAAATTATTTCCTCTCCCTTTTTTTCTTTTCTTTTTTTTTTTAATGGTTATTTTAATACGAAATAAATACGTTGGATGCAGAAAATATTTTCTGCGAAGACGTAGCGAATTGATAGAATAAATCTACCATTATATTTATGACTCGAGATTTAACGCGATGTGTCGCCACGAGATAAGATGTAAGGAACGACATAGAAGTCATTAAAATGGTCATTGCAGTCTTAAATTTAAACTGAGAAAATTTATCACTTCTAACCCGGCGCAGAAAGGAATTGCCAGATTTCTAAGCTTTTTTCTTCTTTTCTTTTTCTTTTTTTTTACATTGTTCGAATTGGCTTCCGTTACCAGGAATTATGTATTTATATAGAGAAAACCGTAAATTGTGTGTCTTACGTGTGTACTTTAAACACGTAACGAAGTGGTAGCTGTTGTTATAGCAGCCAGAACGGATGCGTAACAATAAAATTTGTTAGAAGCGGATACTGAGGGAGAAAAAAAAAATCGTCAAACGGGAAATCTAACAAAACACGAGAGAGGGTGATCGAAGAGTGACGTCAGAATATCTACTTCATCACGGAAAGGGTCGTTGTAGGTTCTGCTCCAGTGAACTTTGACTGCGGCTCGGGTTCTATCGAGGTTTTGATGAAACATCCGAGGCATGAATAGAGAACAATCTTCAACTCGCTTCGGATAATGGTTTTGTCGATGACGCATTAATGCTAGGGAGAAGAACAATGCAGCGATACTAAAAGCCATTTTACTCGTACGATGGAAGTGTATTTCTGTAAATTATCCGCGCACGAAAAGAAGAAATTTAGGATGAAAAATTGACACTAAATCGTTTTCGACTAGGTTAAAAAGAAATTAAAAGAAATGGAGGTAGCGACGTTATTTCTTTATTTATTTACGGTCCGTAAAGATTCGATCCAATTTTGTTTCTAACGTAATACGGATTTACACCACCCAAAAAAAAAAAAAAAAAAAATCCGTTCCAAATACACTCCAGCGTACAGTATATCTGGATTTAGTCAGCGTAAAGACCAGTTTTTCGATTTCCTGTTCTCGAATTGGGAGGAGGGAAGCAGAGAAAGAATAGAAATCCATCTGTCCTGATAGTTCCCATGCAGATCCCCCCCAGGGAAAGCCAAAAGAAAATCTCTGATAAGATGGCGACATTTACGACTTTCCACTTTTATATCTGCTGTATTTCGTGATCAAAATTCCGATATGGGGCTTATCATCGGATTTAGAGAAAAATTACAGTTCCTCCGAAAAAAGCTAAAAACCTAATTATAATACCGAAGCAT